TCTCGGTTGGCATAACAGATTAATGTTTAAGGCTAACTTCAACTCCCTTGCCTGTAGTTTCTGGAGGGGTCCCCATGATTTGTAATTCCTGAAGCCCTTTCAAACTCAACAAGTTCAAGTTTTGGCAACATTTATTTCCAGATACTAATTTAAAACAAGCAACAAAGGTTAATAAAGCAGGATTTAATGAACCCACCAAATTTCGTTGGAACTCATCGGCTGAATACTCTAAGTACAGGGATATGTATATATATACTATTAAAATACACTGGGAGATATAAGATTAGTCAGCAAATAAACTGCACGCCAAACGGTACGTGTGGATGTTTTTTAGGACATGTTCAAACAGATAAGGGAGGGGGTATGAGAGACTAAAATTAAGGTGAAATGTATTGGGCTTCAACTACGTCACCTAGATAAACACTTAGGCCTTACAGAATAAATCAAGAATCGCGAACCAAATAATATTAGTGGTAACAGTTATAATAATGATGCTGAAATGAGTTAAGATAATGTCATTGATAAAAGTTTTCAACGAATTAGGAATAATAATAAGAGGTAGAATAAAGTGTTAATAACATTGATAAAAGCAGTTAATAAGTAAAATCTGTTGCCATGGTAGATTCAGAGTGACGAAAATTTCACTTTATGCACAGAGACCTCGTTTATAAACTTGAATTGCTCAGGCCTTTGCAGTTGCAAGCATCTTTCTGTTTCTTTGTTTGCTGACAAGAGTAAGTGACTTGACAGCGACGATATCATATCTGTAGTCTACAGTTTCGAAGTCTGAAACGCTCACAGCCCATGAATCTGAGAGCTGGGACTCACCGAAGGCGAAAAGACACTTCAGTTCCACATCTTCGGTTTATGTCTTACCTTGATGGCACCAACTATGATTCAGCTTATTTTCACCATGGATAGGTATCCCTAATTTTGCCATAGATTTATTGTTACTGTCGTTATTTCAGGCGCAAACTATATGAAATCTTGTCGGGTGGGTATTCATTATGATGTCGACGTCCTTGTTGCACTGGTGTTAATGTGATAAATCACTGTAGTGCTTGTGAATTTCGCATGGGCTATCGGTGGCATCAACACCAAGATATTAACTGGTTATCTCAATAACCAACTTTGTTCCTGTCTAACCGACCAAGTAAATATCAGCATTTTCGTTAAGTACAAAGTTGACGAAATTTGAAGCGATGATCTGTGTCCCCTGAACTGCCAACGAAATATCAGTACAGTCCTTATGAGCGTTACATCATCAAATTTCATTGGTAAAAGCAGTAGGGACATTTGTCGCACTTATTCACCTCCAACTTCAGTAGCAATAATCCTAATTTCTGCGTGGCGTTTTTTTATTCGCGGAGTCTTCTTTGAACAGGTTCCTACACCTTTCGGACCCTTTGCCAAATGTAATGCTCGCACCTAGTTGGTATTCTAACTGTGATATGCCATAACCAACATTGTCAATGGTTGGAGATGACTAGGCTGGAGGCAGCATGAGTAAGCCTGTAAGAAACTTCACCAACTACTTGATTACAGTGGATTCACTTCTCCACCTCTGTCGTTAGATTTGATATTACCTTTAGGAGAGATAAGTGAAAAGCTTGGCAAGGTTGAAGACTCCCTAGGAGTCAGAGAGCTCGCAAGAGATACGTGGTCTCAAAGAACCAATGCAGCACCGAGATTGTGGAGGATAGGATCTTTGCCCACATACTTGAGGTAAGCTCTCGATCCACGTTTAGAAGAATTCTTATTAACGAGTGTTGAGCCTGGCGGAAGTTCGGACAATTTGTATCTCATTGGCCCGAAAACGTCTACAGGTTTCAGTTATGCGCTCGACATGTTAATGAATATCACAGTGATCAATCCCATTTTCAATCGAAGCGACTGTACCACTAAGCACTATAAAAAAATCGTAATTTCAGCCTAAATAAACCACATTATTAACTTGAACACAATTTGTTGCGCATAGTCATATCAATTATAACAACACAAATTCGAAAAGCCATAAATATTGACTTTTCAAGTAGATCCCTGTCAATGGCTCTACTCCTGCCGAGCTAGCTAACTTCTCAAGTGGATAAATTCTTTTCTCACGGAAAGAGAGCAATTAGTCAAAATCAACCATCAGCTGTCTTCATCAAAGGCGATAACTAGTGGTGTAATACGGGGTAGCGTTCTTGGCCCTATTCTATTCCTCTTATTTATAAATGATATAGTCTCTGTGATCGAGTATGGCAGGCCGTACCTCTTTGCAGATGATCTCAAGATAGTATATGATTATGGGTACGATGATATGAGCGTCGAAAGCAAAAACCAACGTGACAAACAATCTGCGCGATTGAAGCGAAAAGTGGCAATTGACTTTCAACCCAGACAAGTGCGGTATAGCCCACCTTGGACGCTGGAAACCGAGAATGTGCCTATATATGTGTGGTAAGTTCCTCTCGAAACTGAACACAGTCACAGATCTCAGGATAACATACTCAGATTTAACCTTTTCCGATCATGCAAATAAGGTTGTATCTGACTGTGAACGACTTATTGACTTTGTACTGCGTAACATCTATACACAAGAAGCAAGACTAGCTATATAAAGGACATGTATCCGCCACAAACTTGAATATTGTGCCCTCGTATTTAGTAGCCTAAGGTCTGCGGACTGAAAAAAATCGAAAGTGTTCAGAGATTTCTAACGAAACGCATAATAGGGTTCGACCAACAAATGGAATATGTTGACAGGTTAATACAACTGAAATTAGAACGTCTGTCGTTAAGGAGAGTGAACTGTAACTTATTTCTACTCTGCAAAGTTATCAGGAAACTTTGTTATAGTAACTCATCCATAACGTGGGAAAATATCAAATCATATCGGCTGCGAAACTACGACTACCTTGTCAAGGTGGCTACCCACAGAAAATCCATTAGTGCAAACTTTTTCACCATTAAATATTGCATTCTTTGGGACCAACTACCACCTGAAATTAGATGTTGTGAAAACCCCGATGGGTTAGAAGTGGGCCTAGAAAGACACATTAACGTTTCCACCCTAACTCGTCTAAAAGACCACAACTGTTGGTAGAACGGAAATTGAAAGCCAGTCCAGTCGTCAGTATGGTCACGTAAATATAACTCGACTCCGTTACTTGCGCAGCGAACGTTTAACTAATTTACTGATTTCTATTCTATTTCAACAACAATAAGGACGAAACAGTTGTCCAGTACTCCCAGGTTTTCCAGTGGTTCTCTAACCAATGTCAGCTGGTGGTGAAATCCAGTAAACAATAAGTTGTGTTCGAAACTTCGTCATCGAGTATATAATACTTTTTTACACAGAAGTGGGCTTGCGAATGTTCTCGAATTACGGCAAATTTCACCCACCTTTTTAGGTATTTTTCTGAAACCCGACGATACCCTTGATGTGAAATATGTGACCGCTGAGTCAACCGCTAGGGAATCAGTTACTTACATCGCTTGACAACTTTCGAGGGGGGTAATTTGTCGACTTCAGCTAGAAACGAGGACAACAGTTTGTTTTCATCCGCCTCTTCTGTTTGGCCTACAACCTGAACACAAATGACTGACACTTTAACCTAGACAGTCAAAACATGGCATGTCTGTCTCTACTACCGGCCAGCTAATGAAGGTGGGTGAGGGGTATACTGAAGAACCATAGAAGGGCCTCTACTCAGTACAATCCAGCATGGAGCCTATGTTCCCCTAAATTACAAGTGTCACTGACAAACTTATCGTTACTCCAGTCATAGAGATAAGTGAATCGAAAAAAGGTGGACGCAATACCATAGGGATCATGAGTTTCATGAACTTCTTTGGTCCTCTACGGATACAGCTAGACACCCCGAAAAGTAGTAGGTCTCTCCTCCATCCCATTTTCTATTTGATATTCTTCTTTATCCCTTTCAAAATCATCTCCCTCTCCGGCTTAGTTGTTGTTGCCTCATTTGTTACTACCATACCTAATAATTCATGGAAGTATTAACACCACGGCGACAACGCAATATTAACATTGTTCGTAAACTATTCCGAAAATTCCACCACGTGCGATCCATTCTCCTTTTGCTTACAGCTTTTTATTTATGAAAATCCCTGTAAGTCAGTGAGGCATTTTTAGAAGAATCTGAGGTGGCTACCTAAAATTGAAAGGTTTTCACCCATCTTCTGGCAAAGCAGTGTGGATTATTGATACTATGAATATACTACTTTCTAAATTTACTTGATTTACTGCATATTTTCTCCCTCTGTATCTTGTCTTCCTGAACTTTCCAATCTCTTTTCCGTTTCCCTCTCTTTTATGGAGAAACCATACATGCCCATCACAACAAATTTTCTACTTTGCTCTACTTGAGTGGACTTACGGCAGTGGTGAAAATAAATTCCACAAGCTAAAATCCACTCTGCACACAGGATTACTCTTAAACATAGGAAATTGAGGTCCAAGAAGTCAGCAGTTTCATACAAGATCCTATTAGAGGTATTAGAAATAGGATGTCAAACCTTCCATCACACTTCCTACCCGCCAGATCTATAACTGTTATATGGCTAGATTGGTTATAAAGGAATCAAGTGGAAACCAAATCCGTTTTATATCTGGCGAAATTACGTGGAAAGTTCAGTTTATTCTAAAGTAAACTGTAAAGTGTCTACTGAGAATTGAATCTATTATTGAAATTTGCCATTGGACATTGAGGGTTACTAATGTAAATTGTGCACTGTTCAATCTTGAAACTATCACACACTGCTTTTGTCTCCATGATTCTGAGTTAGTTTTTGATTTATAAATGCTCTTTGTGACAAAGGTAATTGCATTTTAGGAAGTTTTCTTAAGTAATTACTCATCGTCCTACTATTCTATTTTGTTACGAAAAGGAATTTTTGTTCTTAGGCTTTCTAGCTGGCTCAGTGAAACAAAAGGTTGTTAGCTAGTTGTTCTTCCAGAGTTTGGACGCTAGTCTACCAAAAGATAGTCTTTCAATATGATGCAGTTAAAGAGTGCATGGACACCGCTGGCAAATAAAGATGCAAATAAAAAGGTAATTTTTCGATCGAAAATGCTGTTACTTGTTAGCTGTAGCTTTTTGAAGAGCGGAAGTGCCTGTTACTATCTTGGGTAGTGAATTATTTATCGTTATTAACTTTTTCCCCTTCATAGTTCTCGAAATGGTCTGAAAGTCAAAGAACGCAAGCAGTAATAAGCCTCTTTGAGCTATGCACAAATAAGCAGCTCGAAGCACTAGCTCACTTCATAGAGAACAGAATACCTGTATATCAGGTAGATTTCACCAGGACACTGCCACGGTTTTTGTGCATTTATATATTTTCCTTTCTGGATCCCCGAAGTCTCTGTCGCTGTGCGCAAGTAAGTGTGAATTGTTACCCTTATTTTCTATACAGTTTTTTAGCAAACGTATTTGTGAATGCACTACTTGTGACTACATTATTCTTTATTTAAACTTTCTATTTATTGAATAAACACTATATAATTTAGAAAACCTGCTTACCTATGCATTTGAGTCAAATTTTTAAGTACTTTTCTCTTCTAACTAACGAATATCGTTAGAAAGAGTGAAGTTTTATGCGTTGATTTCGGATTCAGATTTATTGGTTGAGGATAGAAGGCTTGCAGCTTATGTTAATCCTTTTCTAGTAAATTGCTGTGCTTGTCCAAACCCTTCTTGAATGAATCAGTTGAGGTCGCAGAAACCACCTCTTCTGGGAGTTGGTTTCATGAGTTTATGACTCAGTGTGAGAACCAGTACTCAACGGCAGTATGATTTCTTCTTGGCTTTTGAACTCTCCTGCTACGTCCTCTCAAATGTTCCGACTTGGTGGGAAGGAAAAGAGAGAATTGGTCAGGTCTGTAGTCACTATTTAAAATTTTGAAAATTGTAATTAAATTTCCTCTCTGCATACGGTATGATAGGGAGGAAAGATTTAAACTCTCTAGTATTTCCTCGTATGATAAATCAGTCGTGCCGAGAATCATACGTGTCGCCTTCCTTTGAGCCCTTTCTAGAGTGCATGAGTCCCCTTTTAGATAAGGACTGGCGGCCTGGATGCAGTTTTCCAGTCTTGACCTCACCAGGGATGTATATAAGGAGGTGAACAAATCTCTGTTGATTCTAGTAAAGGCTCTGCGAATTGCCCATAAGAACCTGAAACTACGTGCAGCCACCGCGCGACAGTGTGCTGTAGTTTTTAAGTCGTGACTTACTATGACAACTAAATCTAAATGAATCCAAGGTGATGCGAATCTTATTCCATCTAGTTCGTAGGAACTGATGCTTGCTTGTCCGATATGTATGGTTGCACATTTCGCTGCATTGACCGGAAGCATCCGTCTCTGGACCACTCTGACAATTTGTTGAGGTCTTCTTGCAACATGGCAATATCACTGTCTCTCTTCATGTGTCTCCAGATTTTTAGGACATCTGCATTTAGGACTATAGGGGAGTCGGTAAGCAGAGATAACTCATTAATATACAAAATAAATCGGAGAGGTCCGAGTACGTGCCTTGTGGCACTCCGCTACTCACTGCTGTCCAGGAGGAGATTTTTGAGTTGATACTGACCCTCTGCCTCCTATCTATGAGGAATTCCCTAAGCCAGTTTAGTAAGCTGCCATTGCCGTAACACTCTATTTAGTAGAGATAGCTTGAAGATCGTGGTCAATGGGCCGGCTAAGTATGCTGATATCTCCTTGAGAAGCTTTGAATGAATATTATCAGGGCTCATTGATTTCCCTGCGTCTAGTTTCATTAGGCAGTTGAGCACGACGTCTTAGTCGACGTAAGCGGAGTCTATCCCGTGTTCCTTTGATGCAACCAGAGCTGACAATACGGGGAGTGACGGCTTTAGCTGCTATTTTTTGACCCCTGGTACGCCTCTTCTAAGTGCCAGTCTTTCTATTACTATCACTGGACGGCTTGCCCGGTATCTTAGGGGCAGCATGGCTGTCTGCAATATGGTGGGTGCTCTTTTGTGCTGAAGGACACTCACTTCCTTACAGAGACTCGTCAGGAACGTGTATTATCTTGTCGATGACGCTAGTAACGTCACCGGTGCCTGAGCAGTATTCGCTCTTCTCCTGTAGTGGACGATCCTTGCAGTCCAGGAGCTTTAGGGCTTCACTGGGAGTGGCTATGGATTCTGTTATGCGAAACTTAGTGGTACCTCAGCAGTCACTGCACAGCAAGTTCACTAGAGGTTTGCGGCAGCGGTTGTATGCTGCAAGACATGGGTTTGTGCACATGCTATGAAACCATCTATTGCAGTTGTCACGGTGTATTCCTTCTTCAACTAGAAATTGGCACATAACTTTTCCACAGCGGTTTTTTTGATAGGCATACTTTTCAGAGTGAAATGGGACAAAATGATTCAACTATGACCTTTATATAAATCAGTGATAAAAAAAACCAATAAGTGTACAAAAATGGATATATATAACTATTAAGTTATAAGTTGTGCGTCGGTGGTACAGTGGTTAGGACTCTCGCCTACCATGCACATGGTTCAGGGTTCATGCCCCTGCCGGCGCACACCCGATATCTATGGTCGGCCTGAATTTGGGCTACCGATATCCATGCTGAAAATCCCATACTTGTACTGAAAATACGGTGTGGAATCAAGCTGTAAATCAAAAATCAAAAATAAATAAAATAAAACACAACTTCCTATAAGTAAATAGACTCAAAACTTCTATCAGAATAAACCGATTTAAAGTTAATCTATAGACTTTTGAAGCGTGTAACTTAATAAAAGCTGAAATTAAACAAGAGAGTGTAAAATTCACTCTCTTTTCAAATTTCTCTGCTTTTAGAATTCCTATTATTAACCAAGCCATACATTTGCTTAGCTTTGATGCCTAGCACTTATATACTTCATTTGAACTAAGTAGTCGTGTTTCTAGCTATCTCCTATGAAGTCTTGAAGTTTGAAGCCTGAATTTCCTGAACTACTTTTAGCAGCACTATTTTTTTGTTTTGTTTTACCTCCATATCTAAAGTTCCTACCGGACTCATCGACCAACAGTTTTTGTTAAAAGCGTTGCATCTTAAGATTGGATGTTTTTTTCCAGTTCAATCGTTTTTTTTGCTGGATACATAGAGACTAGTGTATCTACACTTATTCAGTTACATCGCCTTCACAATGTTTAGTAACATTCCTTTTGATTATAGATCAACTGAAGACATGTAAGACTGTTATTTGGAAACTCTTTAAACTGTACTAATTAGCACACAATCACTACCAGGGGCAAAAATACTTCTACATTGTTGATATTAGATGGTTGAAGGCAAACGGCCACAAGAAGCCTCACCTGACCTAGGTTTCGTGCTAGTTGGCATTCATCAGCAAGGCGTATGTGCAACCTCGAAGGGACTCATGTCTCTGTTTCTGAGATTCGAACCCGGGTCACCCAATGCCACCTGAAATCAGAGGAGTTACCACTGAGTTATTCAGTCTGCACCGAAGATAGGACTAGACATACACATTACACTAGTTACTGGCTAGTGTCCAATCAAAAATATACTTCTCCATTGCCGAATATTGTAGTTATAAAACAGTATATGAATGGTTTAACACAAACATTTACATTCATACGTCTGTAGTCAGTTAAATCAAGCTCAAAACCAATAATTTTTGTCTCAGTACTTTGACAAGATTGAAGTTAACAGCAGCTCAGACGCTAGAACGTGCAATGTCTTATCCTATAATATACTATATATATATATATATTGAAAAATCAAACATATGTATATATCCGTTTTTAAAGTAGCATAAAAACTCACCTCAGATGTTTTTTACCTGTGCTTTCCTTCAAAATAGAATAACTTCTAATATGTAATATTGACAATCATCAAGGTTCATATCAACAACTATGTATTCACAGACTTACTTATATTCATTTATAGGAGCTGCATTCAGTTCCTTTGCTCCACAATTGTAATTTTAAACTAAACATTTAAAGTTATGTATGTCTAAACCAAGTTCACTTTTAAGAGTTTGAAAAAATTTGACCACTGGGTATATGCTATTCATTATAATAAAGGTATTTTTTGTATTTCCCAATCAATGAAAAAGAGCAAAACGATATTTGCTGTTTTTACCTATGTTTCCCTATTTAATGTTCCTAATAACTTTATCAAAGCAGTCACATTGAACCAGAATTTACAAAATCCGCTCAGTTTATATATAGCAACTTAACCATCTTTCCTCAGTATGGAGTCATTTTCGCGTTGTCAAGTTGGCCAGTTGGTAAAGATAACAAAACCATGTGTCGATTGTTGGATTTGATAAGTGTTTAAGATTATACTCATATAATGAAATTGCTTATCACATACGTGTTGATTTTGTCATTTCATGGGGTGGGGGTGGGTGTTGTAACCAGGTAAAGTTATGTTTTAGTCCATCATTCCTATTCAGACGGTTTGGATTCCACTTGATATGAAGTGCTTCTGATGATATTAGACGTTTTTGTGATTTATGAAATCTTTTTTTGGATTGTTTCACTATTGTCGAAATCAGTTTTGTGACCTGATTCTATAGCGTGTAGACCTATGGCTGATGATTTTTCAAGCTCTTGTAGTTCAACCGGATTTCTCTGTGGTCGAACAGATACTCTACGGTGTTCATTTCTTCTGATATTGATTTGTCTCCGGTGATGTTTGTCCGATGCATGTTGCATCTCATTCCAAGCACTCTATTTTATAAACACAATTAGATAGAGAATCCTTAGGGATTTGGTGTTTTATATGGACAAGGTTGTTTTGAAGAAAACTGTGATGTCGAGCTTACTGAGTACTCTTCTGATATAGTCTGGTGTCTCCGATTTATATGGAATGACAACTGTTGAGGTCCGTGTTTTCGGAATACTTTTTCGACCAGACTTAATATGAGTATTGATTTTGGTGACGAAGTTCCTTGGGTAGTTGTTTTGCTTGATAGTTTCAGTAATGTTTGATATTTCTTCCACTTTTTCTTTCTCATCCCTTGGCATCAGAGAGTGTGCTCGTCTTAGAAGACTTGAAACAACTGTTACCTTTGCGCTGATGGGGTGTGATGATCCGAAGTCTAAATATTTGTTGTCGGAGTAGGTTTTCTTCCTGAATACAGATACACTAAAATGTCCGTTTTCCCTCCTCTTAACTAGGCAGTCTAGAAATGGTAGTACACCGACGTCTGATTCTGCCTAATTCCGAAGTAACCTGGATTTTGGGAGATAGATTATTTAGTTTCTCCAAGGATGAACTGTGTAGATCTCCTTTTAGCACTACAAAAGTCTAATGAACGCATATTAACCATATTTTAGGAGTTAGTAGGCTTGAGAAGAGATGTTATCTTGGAATCTATTAACGAAAAGATCAGCGACTATTGGGGAAACTGGTAAATCCATAGCAGCGCCATTTGTCTGTCCATATAAATTTAAGCTCATAATTATTTCAGTGGTGTCCAGTGGACATCCTTATGATAGAATTGTATCTGATTTCGGTAAACTGGGAATGATATCAAGACTTTCGATAATAGGGATACTAGTCTATAATGAGTTAATATCACAGCTTATCATAATGTCTTCCTTATCAATTTTTCGGTGTTCTATTTGGGATTTGAAATCATATGACGCCATGCTGAGGAACGATACTTAAGTTGTTATATATTAAACTGAGATTTTGCAAATTCTGGTTTAATGTGACTACTCTGACAAAGCTATTAGCAGGATGAAATAGCGAAATGTCAGTAAAAACAACAGTATCGTTTTGTTTTTCATTCATTGGGAAATACAAAAAGAAAGTTTTATTATAATGAACATTTAAAGTGTATATTCATTTATCTGTTAAGTAGAGAAAAAGCCTCTCTTTGAATTCATGTCGTTTGCTAAATCTTGAAAACAGTCGCATAATTTATGGCTGAATTAATTATAATGTTAATACGTAGTTAGACAATTTGCAGCTTCCTAAATGGTTCAAACCAACTGTGAAATACTTCGTAGATTGATAGTTTGACCAATCCTGACCTTGTTTTGCAATCTAATCATGTGCTAGCTAACATTACTTAATGAAAAAGGCAATAATTTGCCATGCGTAACACATATATCTCAGTGAACACATTAAAGTTAAGTATCTTGGATCAATTATTTCTTCTGACCTATCCTGGTCTTCCCATGTCTTAGCGACTTCTAAAAGAATATTTGATGAAATCAGATGGTTGGAGGCAAACGGCCACAGGAAGCCTCACCTGACCTAGGTTTCGTGCTAGTTGGCACTCACTAGTCAGTCAGCAAGATGTATCTGCAACCTTGAAGGAACTCATGTCCCTGTTTCTGAGACTAGAACCCGGGTCACCCAATGCCACGTGCAATCAGAGACGTTACCAGTGAGCTATTCAGGCTTGCGATCGAACTCCTGTAGGTCTGTAGTGGACACTTTGATTGGACACTAGTTACTAGAGTGAATATTTCGTCTGACTTTTTACATTAGGAAGTTAAGGCACTCAGCGATAATTCAACCCCTCCTCCTCTTACAGTTTGTCGACTAATGTATCTTACCTATGCTTCTTTACTGTTCACCCTTATTCTTTCCTGGGTTGCTTAAAAAAGACTATGTCATACTTTGTAGAACTCTGCAGACTGCCAGTAGGGTTAGTGGTATCCCATTGAGCCATATCGTTGACATCATCATTGATAGGCACTTGATATCGTGCAACAAATTTGCTAAAGAAATTTTATCAGACTGTGAGCACCCACTTTACCCGCAGCTTCAACCTTGTGTCTCCTCAGGTAAAACAAGAAGTCTTTCAGTAGACTTTATGCACGTACGTCTAGGTGTAAAAATTCCACTTCACCATATTTGGCACGTATTTTTTGAGATGAAAATATTGTCAGGCATGAACTAGCTTACCTTCTTTTCACTGGTAAATAAACCATTTTCTTTACCCTTATAACATCAAGCTTTATTGTCATTGTTCTTCTTATATCTATAATAATGGTAATTCCTGGTTTTTATTTATTTATTTTCTCATAAGTGTTAACATCATTTAAGCTGTGTTATAAGTGTTAATTTTGTATTTCCCCTCACTATGCTGCTATATCAACAGAACATTAGATTCAATAATCTATAACATGCAAAAATTTGCAAACTGAATCGACAATACTGTTTGAAACAAACTCACCGTTATTATTATTATTATCATCATTAAATTTATTATTCTCATTTTGTACTTTGAATATTTTTGACTTTATACCGTTAATGTGGACAAATTCCTCTGGTTAATTTTGTTTTAATTTTATTTATATTTTGCGTAAAACAGATGCAATATTGTGACAAATGCTGAGAATTTTATTCTGCATTATGAATACTGTTTGGAATAAAGTATATTAGTATTACTATTAAAAACTTTATTAGTTTATTTTCTTTTCTTGTGCTTAATTTACGCTAGGTTTGTTGGTATTGGCGGTATTTAGCTGAAGCGAATGAATTATGGGCTTCAAAATGTATCCGGCGTGGATGGGATTTAATTGCTTCACAAAGTCAATGGGAACCAGGAATATGGAAAAAGCATTATATTCAAAATATACGTTGTCTTCAGTTGTATAGTATTTCAAAAGTAAGTCACATATATAACATTTGTGGTGAGTGCTACTTATAATCAGATATAAGTAGTATATCAGTAAACGAGTTCAGAATAGCAACAGTATGGTGTCACTGCTTCTGCCGGGGATGAAGATGTCGTGGCCGCAGGTGTTTGGGGAGAGAGATGTGAGGATATTCCTCAAGGATTTTGAAGCTGTTGCGGACCTGGTTGGAGTGCGAGGGCAGAGGGCGGAGCTGGTCCTCTTGGAAACTCTAGGTCCCAGGGAGAAGTGATCGGTGGAGTACAGCAGGTCGGGCGTGGGGATAAATACTCGCTGGCTATGATGTTGCCTTTTGGTCAGGCTATATAGTGAATTGGCAGAAGTTAAAATTCATGGACTGGCCATTGAATTGGGTCACAGTGGCTGAATGGTATACGAGCTTGCCTTTCAACCGGAAGGTCCTGGGTTCGAACCCTGGTGGTGGTTGCGTACTGCCAATGATTCGCAAACTGGGATGAAACAGCTATCCAGTACTCCTGGCTGGTTTTCAATGATTCTCTAACTGATATCAATCCGTGATCATCTCGTAAAAACAAAAGGAATCACAGCACAAGTTTCAAACAAATTGGATCTATGAATTACTACAGTCTTCAAACTGCTTGATTTGATTGATAGCACGTTTTGCCATGATGACGAGAAAAAATCTGTCTTCAAGTCAACAGAACTATTTAGAGAGCAATTAAAAATCAGAAGGTATTTAACCACAAGTGTCCAGATGATGTCTTCATCCTTCATGACAGTTGCTTTGAAATTAGTCAAAGCTGATTATGAGCTGACCGCAGTTAGAGAACCCCTGAAAACCAAGAAGTACTGTTCAGCTTTAATGTCAGTAAAAAGTTTGAGCATTGGGGAATAGATCAAATAAAGTATAGTTATATTTCAATAGTTTACACACAATGAGATATAATAATACTTTACTGTTCAGCTGTTTCGCCCTTTTTTGGGACTCTTCAGGATTACGCAGCTGCGATCCTCACCTGATAGGGGTTATAAGGTGAGTTCACCGTTCAACCACTTGGATGGAATTCAATAGCCTATGAATTCTATCCCAGTGCGTGCCGATAAACAGTCACACACTAAGAAGAAACAGTTAGCTTTCAGTACCCCATGGTTTCAGTGGTTCTCTAATGGGCGGGGTGGGATAGATGGCGGATCATTTCACAGTCACGCTTAAAATACATCAAATCTCTACAAATCAACAGTTGAAAGGAATCACTTCACCGTCCACATGAAATATCTCCCTTCCTATTAAATGATTTTGTTTTTCCACATTCTCGTTTTACCTTCCATGCTTCAAATTGTAGTCGTCTGCAAGAAGTAGTGACGTGATAGAACAGTGCTCAGGAAATCTGTACACTAAACACTCAGAATTTTCAAGCAATCATTCCAATCATACTGACAATAATGGCAATGATGAGTCTGCTGAATACTGTCGTAGTTACAAAACTGCAGATACTGATCGAAGTAGAACAAAAGATGATTGTAAGAAGCCTAAAGATGATGGTCATTTATCAGAAAGAAGCAAAATTGATAAAGTCAGCCTAGAACCATGGCGTGCACCAAGTCGTAAACCATCTGAAATACATCGTTTGAATTATTTTGATAATGAAATCAGCGTGTCGAAATTATCGAGGAGTGAAATACAACGAAGGTAAGTCGAGCCATTTTTTTATTGAATTTTGATAATTTAATTGACGGCAACTCAATGAAAGCTTAAATTTGAGATACTTAATGTGATTATTACGATGTATTTAAGGGTTGTTTTCCGAAAGACAGAATTGATAAGATGGATCGTGGAAATAATAATAACAGCTTTATTCTCAACAGTGTCGGTGGCACAACAGTTAGGACTCTCGTCGACCATGCACATGGTTCAGGGTTCATGCCCCTGCCGACGCACACCTGATATCAATGGTCGGCCTGCTAAATTTGGGCTTCCGATATCACATGCTGAAAATTCCATACTTGTACCAAAAGTACTGTGTGGTTTCAAGCTATAATCAGAATAAAATATAAAAATAATAAATGTACAGAACTTTCAGTAGGGTTTATTTTATGATATTTTCTCTTTGTTGTACAGGATCTTCTAATAAAATATTAATTGATAGTAGGTCGTGTGACACACAGTTCTATCTGATCTGCAGCGTTGTAAACCAATCCATTAAGTGATATCTCTTCGCTGTCTCCTTAGAGAGATAAACAACGACATTTTCTTTTCCAAGTGTATTCGTTTTTTGTAGGGATTTTGTTTGATTGGTTGGAGGATTTCATCATGAGCTGACATCAGTTAGAAAGCCATTGGAAAACCAGCTAGGAGTCCTGGACAGCTGTTTCGTCAGCCTAGGTTGGTATTCTTCATCAGTGGCTTAATGGTCTAAAAGCCTGCACTGTAACCAGAAAGTCCTGAGTTTGAGTCCTGGCGATGGGTGCGTACTGATGAAGAGTCCCAACCTAGGCTGACGAAACAGATCATGATGAAATCCTGCAATGACATTTGTTGAATGACAATTATAGAAAGTCTAGGAGAACATTTTTTGAACCACTGAGGAACAGTTATCTCAAGTATTGGGATAAGCTGTCAATGAGAATAATGCTTTTTCACCTCATATTTAGTAGAAACTTGCGAATCAGCATGTTGTAAGAGTTTTAAATACTCGCCAGAGTAAACAACACTATTAGAGGTCATATTTTACTAGATTTAAACAAATCGAATAAGGGAAATTATCTGCAGCATGCATTGATGGAGGTTGTTTTCAGTAGCCAAACTTTTAAGCATGCCGTCAAACTCTTAACTTTAACATACAGTTTAAACATATATTCTGAATGTCTTACTCTCATTGAACAGTATTCCTGTTTCTAAAAGCTGACTGCTTTAATGGAGTTCGTCATTTCCGAGGGATATTCATCAATTGATGTTTCTAGATAACTTGAGAATATATGTATATTTAACCAGGCCCTAGATGATTTATCCATCCGGAAGTGTAGTCTTCTTGAATTTTGATTCTGGTTTCGCCATTGATTATTGACTGGATCGAAGTGCTTGGTCTCTGTTGACAAGTTAGCTCATTGTGTGGATGCTTCGAATATATCCGAGGATTTAACATGAAGTAATTTGATGGATGGTGAGTAGCAGTGAAATCCATCAGGATGTACATTTCTGCTATCCTATTTAGAACTCGTCAGCCAGTGGATTTACTTGCATTCCCCAGTGATTGATAGTGTTCCCAGTACATATAGTTTCAAACTCCAATGTGAAGTCAGTGTTACTCTACGGATCAGAGAATTGGCGCGTCATAAAGAGCATCTCAAACAAACTACAGACCTTCATTAACAGTTGTCTTCGTTCAATACCACTGAAGATCAGATGGCTGGCCAGAAAAGATCAGCAACAGAGATCTCTGGCAATGAGCGAACCAACCAGGAACCGATTGTGAAACAAATAGGCAGGAGGAAATGGAGATGGATTGACGGCCATACTCTGAGGAAACCATCAAGTGACATCACTAGACAAGCCATCGCTCGAGTGGAACCCGAGAGGGAAGCGGCGAGTTGGTCGTCAGTGCAAGGGTGAGGGTGACTTGGAGGAGGTCATGTGAAGATGAGATGAAAACGTGTGGGCAGACTTGGAGCCAGGTGAAGACTCTAGCAGAGAACGGAACGCAATGGAGAGGCACGGCTGAAGCCCTATGTTCCTCTAGGAATTAAAGGAAACAATAATAATAATAGTTTCAAACTCACAAAAGGTGGTCCACGTGGCTCCAGTAGTCTAGTGGATGACGCTTTGCCTTTAATACTGTGGGTGCTGGGTTCGAACCTCAGTGGGAATAATATCATCCATTAGGGAATGCAGGAGGAGATCGTGTGAAGAAGAGTTGAAACAGTATGGACTAACATGGATGCAAGTGAAATGGAAATCAGAAGACAGAAGCAAGTGGAGACGTGCAGTTGAAGCCCTATGTTCCACTAGGAACCCAAGGGAATAATAATAATTATAATAATAAGGGAATGCAGGTACATCTAGATGACCAGTTCCAAATAAGACATCCGAAATGTGCATCCTGGATTCTATCTCGACTCACCATGCACCAAATTATTATTTCAGAAATGCAATCTACTGATAACAGTCAATAAGTAGTAACTTCTTATAGACTAAAATTTTGGAATGAGACAAATCTAATCCCTTCAAACTGACGCTTGAAAACTATTTAATCTGATACCCACTAATGCTTGACTACGGGACAAAGTTGCCTGAAATCCTAGTGAGAAGTTGTGATTTTTGGATACCACCAGGTAGGTTGGTGAGTATGAATACTCACCGAAATGAGATATATGACTGGCGGTCGTGCTAAAAACAGGCGAATTGGAATTCATGGGTTTGCCTAGTGTTATTCTTAAAAAGTGTGCAGATATCCTGTGTTATCCTCTCATGGACATATTCAATGATTCTTTTTCCAAAAATGTCGTGCCAGCCGCTTGGAAGGACATTAAAATTGTACCTATTCCTAAGTCGTCTACTGCGACATGTTTTAAATTCAGACCCATTGCTATTACTTCCCCTTTTCTAAAAGCTATGGAAAAGTTGCTCTTACTTAATCTTCAGCCTTCACTTAAAGCCTTTAATGATCCCAAACAGTTTGCCTACAAACATAGTAGAAGTACTTTGGACGCAGCTGCAGTCCTGCATCATAACATTGTCTCCAGCTTAGACAAGGGGGCTAAATTTGTTCGCTGCACATTTCTAGATTATACATCTGCTTTCGACACAGTACCTAGGGACATTTTACTAAACAAGCTTGCTGAAACTCAAACTGACTGTTGGGTTGTCAAATGGCTCCATTCTTATTTCTCAGAAAGAAAGCAATACACTGTATATCAGGGAAAGTCGTCCACTTCATTGCTTACTCAGGCTGGTGTCCCTCAAGGCGCTGTCCTTTCTCCTTTTCTGTTTTCTTTCTTCTTGCATGACTTGCCTCACTCCGAGGAAATGAACTTTGTTAAGTATGCCGATGATCTAACTATTTCAATGTCTGTTAACTCTCAACTTGACTGTATTAAGATTAACAACTTTCTATCAGAAATTAGCAAATGGTCTTCGTCTAACGGCCTTAAACTTAATCCTTCCAAATGTCAGACTGTTAATTTCAGTTTCCGATGTAAACGAAAGTTAAATGAAGCCGTTGGTTCCTATGACCCTTGCAAAATTGATGATACCGATATAGAAAGCAAGTCTGAAGTTAAGTATCTTGGATTAGTTCTCTCTTCTGACCTATCTTGGTCTTCTCATGTCTTAGCGATTTCTCAAAGAATATTTCGTTTGACTTTTTACATTAAGAAGTTAAGGCACTCAGGCATAACGCAACCACTCCTCTTACAGTTTGTCAACTCATGTATTTTACCTATTCTTCTTTACTGTTCACCCTTATTCTTTCCTGGATTGCTAAAAAAGGACTATGTCATACTTCGTAGAACTCTGAGGACTGTCAGTAGGACTAGTGGTATCCCATTGGGCCATATCGTTGGCATTGTCACCGATAGGCATTTGATGTCATGCAACAGATTCGCTAGAGGAATTTTGTCAGACTCTGAGCACCCACTCTACCCGCAGCTCCAACCTTGTGTCTCCTCAGGTAAAACAAGAAGTCTTTTCAGAAGACTTTACGCACGTACGTCTAAGTATAAAAATTCCACTATACCATATTTAGCACGTACTCAATGTGATGAAAATAGTGTCAGAAATGAACTAACTAACCTTCTTAGCACCACTAAATAGACCATTTCCTTAAACCTTAAAGCATAATACTTTATTGTTATTGAAATTCTTATATTTATAATCCTCTCAATTTTTTCGTTTTGTTTATTTTATTTTTCATAACTGTGGACATAATTTTAAGCTGTATTATGACTGTCAACTTTGTATTTCACCTCACTATACCATATCAACAGAACATTAGACCCAATAATCTATAGCATGCTAAAGTTTCCAAACTGAATCGACAATACCGTTTGAAACAAACTCACTGTTATTAGTATTTATTATTATTATTATATCTAATAATTATGTCGTTAATGTGGACAAATTTCTCCGATTAATTTTTGTTTTAAATTTTTCATTTTATATACACTTTGAGTAAATCAGATGCAATATTGTGACAAATGCTGAGAATTCCATTCTGTATTATAAGTACTGTTTTTGGAATAAAGTAAATTATTATTATTATTATTATTACTCAATTGGTTAAATGGTCAACAAGCTTATTCACGTAACCTAAAATTCAAGGGTTAGTGTTGTCTATGTATGCATACTGATGAAGAGTCACAGACTAGGGTGAAACAGCTGGCTGTCTATAATTTTATAAATGCGAATATTCTGATCTTTTAACCTCACTTTTTTCATTTTCATTTACTTTTCATTTACATAAGACGTTATAACAGTGCTGGGACAAGAAGATACTCCACAATATCCTCATCGTCAAATACACAAAATATTTATAAGTCTACACAAGTTAAAAGTGATCTCCATGAACCAGATGATAATATTTCTGTCAATTCTAAGCAACGTCAAAGTGTAAATATGGCAAAATCAATTTATTCTAATGATTTATTAATTATTCCTCGTAAATATTCTCAACCAATACCATGGAAACCAACATCATGTTATTTATCTAAACCTTTACAAATTAATTTTGACGAGAATATGAAGAAGATGAAGGAGAAGAAGAAAGATCAAAGAAATTCTGTTCACCGTCATCAACATCCTCAGAATTTAAATGTACAAAATAATGACCTTGAGGAAAATAAAGATGACTTAAACAAATTACACGCGCATAATTCAAAAGTAGACAGATCAATAAAGTCACCTGTGTTGGAAGAGAAAATAACGCAACAGAAAGAATTATACAATGAGTATCATAACACAGATGTAAGTATTCTGGGTATCATCTTTTTTCCCCAATCGATGTGATTTGTTTTAATTAGGTGTTATTAGTATTATTGTTTGAAGAGTGTGCTGAGCTGGATGAATGAATTTTGTAGAATCTTCATAAATCATATGATGACTGGAAATCTAATCCAGTTCCTTCTGTTATCAGTGAATGTCTGTTTCTATATTACTTGTTTTGATGGAGTGTGTCGTTTTATGATTCCAGACTGGTTTGTTGCCGGATATCTTGGAGGTTTTGGAAACCCACGTCGAACATTGATTTTTATTTTTTTTAAAAGAAGACGTAAATAGCACGGGAAATCTTCTTTTCAATGATTCATTTTCATAAGTTGCTGTACAATACAGGATTTATATTTAACAAAGAATTTATAAAACGACCAATCAGATACTGGTAACATTTGTCCTAGAAAATTGATTACATAATGTAAGGTGTAATCAAGACGGGGATAACTAATTGAGAATTATTAGATAGTTGAAGGCAATCGGCAGGAAGCCTTACCTGATCTAGGTTTCGTGCTAGTTGGCACTCGTCAGCAAAGCGTAGCTGGAACCTGTTGGAAATATAAAATCACTCACTAGGTTAATAGCAAGCTAAAACTGCCTATATCTTGTAAAACACTTACATTTACTTTGATCACTCAAAATCCAGGAAGCATTGAACAGCCAACTTTTTCGTCCTAGTTCAGAACTCCTCAGTAGTGCGCACCCATTATAGCACCTAGGGACTTCAGTTTATGAGGTCAGCCCGTTGACCATTCAACAACTACGTTGGCCCATGGGTTCTAACTTCAGTGAATTCACGACATAGTGCTCCTGTAAACTAGTCCCATTGATGATCGTTCGCTTCATCCTGACATGATCAACTTTGCATCAGTGGTTGTGATAAAATTCACCTAGATGACATTTTGTCAATAATCCTCATGGCTAAGTAATTTTATACAGTATAGACTATAAGAAGAAAGATCAGGAGAGAAGGAATGGTAGTTCTAAGAAGTTATAAGCGTTTTATTACTGGTTTTAGCTGTCACATTGAAGTTGTCTACTTCAGAAGTGGTAAAACTGAGTTATTCTCTCTTCCTCTCTCTCTCTGTGGCGTGAGCTATATGTGTAAAAATTCATTGGAAGCGGCAAAAAAATTAAAATCAATATTTTAAGGCAATAACTGCAGGTGTAGAAGTGTTTATTACACAAATCTGGACTTAGTTTACGTAATGGTCTGGAAATAATCTCATTGGACAAAATTCCGTTCCAAGATTTCATTTTCAGAAAATAAACAACCAATCAGAACAGTGTATTTATTATTCGCTGACCTAGCCGACTTATTTTATTGGTTAAAAATGTATAAATGTGTTTTATCCTTAATAAAAAAGGTATATTACCACTTCTCTTATCTAATAAACATTTCTCCTGCTTCTTTATCTAGAATCTAAGCACATCTACAAGAAGTTCAATGCATCAATCGAAATCGAAAATCACCGCATGCATTGAAAGCCCGAAAACCTTGGATCATTCTAACGCAGTTAATATAATCAATAGTGATAATAAAAATAGTCAAAATCTTCAAAATCCTCCGTCTTATCGATCCCTTTGTGCTTCACTACCATCATCTCCGTTAACATCACCGTCAGTGGAAGAAGTTGACTCATCAGTCCATCACAGCATTGATGGTCAGCAACATCAACGATTGTCTTCACCTAAAGCGAAATCAACGATGACAGTGACGTCGATGAAGTCAAGTGAATCAAAATCAAGGACGTTGGATTCTTCAGATAACCTGTGTAATAATAATAATAATGATTCAGTGCCACAAACAGTAGAAGAGAAGGATAGTGATCAAGACAATAATGATAATAATGAAGATCCATACAAAGAAAGTCCTGAAAAGTGATGAATAAATAAGGGACATGTTCATTTGTCATTTCAATTTGTGTAAAAAGCAAAGGTCAGTTTTACGAAATATACAAATATTTCAAGTGTTGGTGTACACGGATTTGATTGATTCCAAAGTTGATCACGAACTGAATTCAGTTAGGGGACTGCTGAAAACATTAGAGAGTACTGGACAGTTGTTTCGTCCTAGTTTGGGACACTTCATCAGCATGTCCACACAATCCCATCCAACAGAGACAGAACCCAGAAGCTTCAAGTTACCAAGTGAGATCGTTGACTCTTCAACCAGTTGGATGGAATCCAGTGGCCTGCTATCTGTAACTTCTGTAAATTCGCTATACATAAATAGCACGATCACCAGCCAATGTCATCAGTTGATATTTTTCCCTACACCCAACTTAGTGAATCCCACTGGTCGTGATCAGAACTTTGGGCAACTTTATCCTGCAATCAGTCACTAATGTGCACTAGATTAATTTTCTAGTACTCTCTGGTTTTCAGCATTGCTCTAAATGAATTTGGTTAACTCAAAGAATGACCTTGTATAACGTATCCAAATAAATAAAATTTTAATTAAATAGATTGTTTAACGGGATCATTCTCTAGCCATCTAACCCCTAGAAAATAACACAAATCATACATAACCTAATCTGTTTTTTATTTCACTTGCTCATCTAGTGTGAACTTGATGGGAATTCTTGGTTTTTATCTGTGTTCTCTGCACTGGATAATATAATTGTTCAGCTTTTATTATCTGTCCTTCTGAACAATATATCTTCGACGGCAATTTCAGTGCCAAGTGAGCTTCAGGGATAAAATGTTTGTCTCTCCTGGTTACCTAGCCGTGACTGGTTGTCCTTAGAGACTTTATGTTGTGTTGTGTTGATATTGATCTTATCGTTGACGTGATATTTGACCTTTTGGCCTTGTGACCACTAGCACTGAAGCGGTTGTCCAGAAGGACATTCAAAGCTTCGCAATTAAACCACCCAGTTCAGGAAACACAAAAAAACAAGAACAAAATCAAAAACATCCATCTAAGCTAAAAGTCTTCCTCCAATGTTTCAAAACTTGGCAAATCCCTAGGTAGATTTCGTCAAGAAACAACATTAGTTGAAGAATCGATGTGAAATCATCAATCACAGAACAATCATCTCGTCTCTAGTTTGAAGGCCTACAGCAGTGGGAACCCATGACCCATTCATGGATCCCTAGATTAAAATATGGGAAATTTTTTTTATATAACATTGGAAGAAGCTGCACCGTTTATTAGTGACTGACTGGAAACATATTGGAGAGTTATGAGCTGTAGAGTTGTCTAAGTTGACTTTATGAACAGACACTGTGACAGTGGGGGCAAATTTATAAGCTGACAAATGTTCAAATTCATAATTCATATTAGATTTCAACCCAATGGCGGCTTTCTTGCCTCATATCTTGAGATTCCTGGGTTCAGTCACTGACGGGGCCATAGATATAACTTACTGAAGATTCATTAACAAGGATGAGACAGCTACCTAGTACACTACGGTTCGTGATGATCTTCCCTGCAATTCGTATTAACTGAATGTCATTCACCAACCAACTAATGGCTACCTGGCGAATTTCCTGAAATTACAATGGAAATTCGTAGCTAGCGGTATCCACCGCGTTAAGATGAAGTGAATAGCCATCAAAGGCACCGGGGAGAGGTGATGGACTATACCTAGAGTTGACAGAGTTCGAATTCAGGATTCATCAAATTATAGCCCAAGTGGCTTAAGGTAGCAGGTTCGACCCCTGGCGTTGTCATGGGCGTGCACTAGTGAAGAGTCCCAGTACTCCCTGGTTTTCAGTGATCTCTCTAGCTTATGTTGGTTCGTGGTGAAAATTTAATAGTTGTAATTAGTCTAAAATCTCCATAAGTCCTATAATCTGAAGAAGAATCAAGTCAAGAGGTATTATTAGTCCTAAATACTGAAAGGAAAACTAATAAGAAAGTAGGATGATATCTTCTTAAAAAAAAAGAATAGGCATGAAGACAACTTTTCGACTATCCTCTATGTTGTGCCATATAATTTAGAGCAGTTAAATGGTCCTTTTCTGAGGAGACGGTCGAATAACATCGTGCGCCAGGCCATCGCTCGAGTGGAGCCCAAATGGTGGACGACGAGTCGGGTGTTGCACCAAGGGTGACATGAAGGAGATCGTGTGAGGAAGAGATGGGAGACTATAGGTAATAGTGGGACCAGCTAAATAGGACAGCAGAGAATAGGAAAAAGTGGAGATGTGTTATTTAAGTCGTATATTCGACTCGGAACCCAAAGGAACAATAACAGTAATAAGTAATCCTTTCAGTTGGTCTTTCTGTCATTTAAAGCAGACTAATGAAGACATATATTATGGAGATATGAAGTGATTCAAATTCTTTCAAAAGTTTCACCCTACTCTTTGGAAATATGCTAGCGCTAATGAACTGATTGCTGACGAAAATTCACCGCAAACATAAAAACTTCGTACAGTATTTGCTAAATTAAGTTATCTTCGACACCGGCGCGGTATTGGAGTAGATCACTACTGTGCAGTGCTTCATCCTGCCCAACATTATAGCTATGAGAAGTAGCTTCTGAAGGTGAGCGGTATGATGATACGATTAGCCGTTTTTCACTATAAGTCCCTCTGTTCAATCTCTCATGTTATTCTGAGTAATATACTCGGCAATAATGGGGTTGGGAGTCAGTGTTAAGTAAGAAAGAAATGTCAGCAGATGAAGTTCTTCCCATGACCAATGATCTTAGATGGAACAGGAATGGGTTGGAAAAGAGTTTGGGGGTGGGTGGGTGATCAAACTAAAGCAAGTACAGTGGCTATTGATGCGAGCCATTAAAGAGAGTTGTAGATTATTCACTTGTATTTGTCACGATGCTAAGAATCATTGACTAGAGTCTGTTAGTGACATGCTTCAGAATTATTCTCAAATAGTATGAATGTCATTCCTTAGATTTTGAAAACCATCTCAAATCCTCAAGACAAGCAACAAACGTTAATAAAATAGGATTTAATGAATTCATCAAATCTGGGTAGAACTCGTCAGCTGAATACTCTACATACGCGGATATATATTTGCACTTTTGAAATTACATTGGAAGATATAAGACTGATAAGCAAATAAACTACATTGAATTAGTCATGCAGAAAAGCAAGTGCGAATGTTTTCCAGGTCATGTTCAAATGGATACGGGGAGAGGGAGCATGAGAGATGAAAATTAAGATAAATTGCATTACGCTTCAATTGCATCACTTAGATAAACAATTAGACATTTGAGAATATAACAAGAATTACAAACAGAGTAATATCAATAGTAATAGTTATAATAACAATAATAATAATGCTGAGGTGAGTTCAGATAATGCTACTTATGAAAGATATTTCTAAACGATTCGGAAATAATAGTAATAATAATAAGAGGTAGAATAAAGTGTTATTAATATTTGTAATAGCAGTTAATATGTAAAACGTATTACCATGGTAGATTCAGAGTGACGACCATCTCCTTTTGTACACAAAGACCTGGCATATAAACTCGAATTGCACAAGCCTCTGCAATTGCAAGCATCTTCCTGTTTCTTTGTCTGTTGACAATAGTGAATGACTTAACAGCGTCGATATCATGTCTGTAATCCACAAGATGCTTTGTTATTGAGGATTTTGGCACTTTGCACTCAGCTGTTTTTAATCACTTTGGCAAATACTCCATCATGAGAGTAGACAATCGCCTTTCTGTACGACCTAAGTATTTGCTTCCACAAACATACATATTAACTGTTATTATTAATATTAACAGCAGTTTTTTTCTACCTCATTATCATTATTACTATTATTCCCGAATCGTTTAGAAATATCTTTCATAAGTAGCATTATCTTAACTCACTTCAACATTATTATTATTATTACTGTTGATATTACTCTGGCTGCAATTCTTGATATATTCTCTAATGTAATTGAAGCATAATGCATTTTATCTTAATTTTAATCTCTCATACTTCCCCTCCCCGTATCCATTTGAACATGACCTGGAAAAACATTCACACCTGTCTTTCTGCGTGATTAATTCAATGTAGTTTATTCACTTATCAGTCTTATATCTTCTAATGTAATTTCAAAAGTGTATATATATATATCCGCGTATGTAGAGTATTCAGCTGACGAGTTCTACCCAGATTTGATGAATTCATTAAATTCTGTTTTATTAACCTTCGTTGCTTGTTTTAAATTCATATCGGGAAATAAATGTTTTCAATTCTTAAAGAAGCTCATCATTTTCGTTAGTCGCAGTTCCATAGTATGTCGCTTTTATATAAATTTTCATATCAAAAAATCATACAGGTAGTGTGAAGAATTTCTTGATTAATTCTTCTTTTTATCAATTGATAGTTGCCATTTACTGAATATTGAATTACTTGAAAATTGAATATTTTGTTCTGTTGTTTATTTTTCTTCTATCAAGGTTGGGATACAAATTTTCGCGGAATAATCAAGTTATGAAATACTAATGATATTGTGATGTACTTTAATGCTAATTATTTTTCATTTTTTATGACAAAATTTGTGTGATTTAACTTCTTTTCCATCCATTTTTTGTTTAAAAAAATAAATTTAACTTTCATTCTATCTTTAATGTTATTTAATGTGGTTAATAGGGCTACCCGTGGAGGTAACTTCAAAATATAGCTACGTAAGACGAAAATACTTAATATAAACGGATCGATAACCTTGAGCGACCAATCAGATGCGTTCATAGTATATTGGCGCAATTATGGATGCAGTACAACAACAACAACCAGCACCAATCACCATCAACATTAGAGATTTCACAGAGGTTACCTCCTTCATTTATCTGGCTAGTCAGCATCGTTTCAACTACAGTCCGGCGGAACCGATGAAGATGTCAAAGTTAGCCAGAATCGGAAAGACAAGATACGCCTTCATCCACCTGAAACCAGTTTGGAAATCTTCTGCATAAAGAACAAGTTTCGGATTCTGTTCAACATAAAAATGAAGTCAGTGAATTCTTCTATACGTGTCAGAAATTTGCACTGAGCGCCACGAAAAGGATTTCCAAAATCCTGTTTCAGACCTTTATCAACAGCTGTCCACCTCACTGGATCCATACTGAAGATCAAATGGTCAGAAAGAATTAGTAACAAGAAACTCTGGCTGGGAACAAACCAACCAACAGCCGATTGCTCAACACGTATATAAGTAGGAGAAAATGGAAATGGATTGATCAGGCAAACATTGAAGAAACCATCAAATGACATAGCGCACCAGGCCATCACTCGAGTGGAATTCAAATGGGAAGCGACGAGTGGGTCGTCAGTGCGAGGGTGACATGGAGGAGATCGTGTGAAGAGATGAGAGATTATGATCATTCGTGGACCCAGCTTAAGAGGATGGCAGGAATAGAACAGAGTGGAAATGTGTTGCTGAAGCCCTATGTTCCACTCGGAACCCAAGGGAATAATAATAATGGATGCAGTACATGGATTACATTGTAAACTCCATCAAGAGGTAGTATTCGAGTACTGTGGAGATAACAGACCTATCGGAAACTTTACAGAGATATGCATCTGCTGTTCATAGACATGTGTGCAGATTTCCAGGCTGTCATTACAGAAAATCTGTCCGGGAAGATTTATCATTCATTTTTTAGCTTCATGGATTGTGTAGAACAGTGAATAGGTTACGAAACAGTATGATATACAGTTATCTGGATGAATTTATGTACACAGATACGTTTGGACTATCACTGAAAATTCCAATAAGTAGTCGGTAGGTTTTTATTGGGACACACACGAAAAAGTTACCCCGTATTATTATTATTATTCCCTCGGATTCGGAGTGGAACATTGGGCTTCAACAGCACGTGTCCACTTTGTTTTATTTTCTGCTGTCCTCGCCTAGTTAACAAGCTCGCCACTTTTCTAGCTTGTCCCCACCCAGGAAAGAGGAAGGATTGGATGTAGTACTAGTGACCCTAAGCCCAGAAAACCAATCAAACTGCTACAGAAATTTCAACGCACAGAAAGAATATTAATAACACATAAAATATAAAAAGAAAACTTATTTTTCGCTGGGATTGGAGAGGCGAAATGATGCCGGCTGGTGAAATTCCTCGAGAAGCCAATCAGCAGATATGTGTCTTCTCTAGATGAAAGCAAGAATAAGAATGAGGGTATGTAATGTTTGTGCAGTGTACGAAGCTGATTTGTTTAAATTACGCGCGTTTACTACGGGCTCATCTAATTGGTTGGTCAGGGCAATTACATCCGTTTATTAGGTAGTTTCGTTTTGGTCCATTATGGTTTAGAGTTACCCCAGTGGAATCTTCCAAGGGCGCATTTAAAATAATGGGAGCAAGGGTCAAGTTGTATTGGGAACATTATTCACTACTGACTTGGAGGTGTAGGGAAATTCAACCGATATGCCGTAGATTTGATAGCTATCCTTATTTTCAAACAAATTAGCAACATAGGCGTTCTTTTGAAAGTTTAGGTTGCCAATGATGCTTTCATAATAAGGAAAGTTAGATGAAATCTCATACGCGTAAAGCTTAGCAAGTGTCGTAGTATGTAATTCCATATAAATTCCTTTATTACGTATATCGTACACTGAAACACTATTATTTGCTGGATGGTAAAGTTTCAAACACAATCTATTATTGATCATAATCTTATCAGTCCATTATAGCTACACAACTTCGAAACTTTCATTTTGTAGTTCTCTTTATTCCTGCGCATTTGTCGGCAATTTTTCCGCTCAACCTGCTTTATTTGACTGTAAGGCTGTTATGTTGTACACTCCCATTGTATGGTTGTGCGTTATTCCTTGCGTTACTGTAGCTGAGCTATTTTCCGCATTTCTTATCGTATTAGGGTCGACGAATCTTGATTTCGCTAAGTTTTTATGCTCCGTTAATCTGATCGACCCCTTCCGACTATCTTACTTATTATTTTTATTCAAAACAACACAGTACCACAAATATCCTTCAATCTTACGACGCCACGTCATAAGCTGATCACCACGTCTCTGCTTTTTGCATCCCTTCCCAGGGCCAGCGAAAAGATACTGGTAAGGAAGCCTCTGGAACGATGTTTGTAATACATGTCCAAGCCACCGAAGCCGGTGGATGCTTCTAGATGACAACACTCAATGAATGGTGATCTCCATTGTGTCCAAACACACGCTGTTGGACCTCAGAATTACTCAAATGATGATACAGTCGAACGTAAGCAATTCTACGGAGACAGCGACGACTGAATACGTATAGTGGCCGCCGCACAACCTCAGTTAAAAGAAACCAGTTTTCGTAGGCTTAGAGTGAGACAGCGTGCACCGGAGAATTGTAAACCCGGCCTTTGATAGCCAGGCTAACGTCGTGACAGCACCAGAGGTGGCTCAAGTTGATGTAAGCGTTCATGATACGGTTGGAAATCTCGCCCGCCAGCATTCAGACAACTACCCGGTAACACGAAATTCTCGACAACTTCAAGCGGTTCACCTGCAAGAGTGAGTACAGGTATATATATATATATATATATATATATTAGGACTCTTCACCAGTACGTCACTACGTCCCCCCCTCTCACCGCAAGGATAGACACCCAGGACCATTTAGAAGTTACAAAGAATGAAGCTCGTTCAGCATCCATCCATCCATTTGAGTCGGAATTCAATGAAAATAACCCAAGAATTCTAATTTTTGAGCAGTCCCTGTTAGGGTGGTGTGTGTGTGTGCATGTGTGTAGGTGAGTCGTACTTCTGTGAAAAGTCCTAGAGCAACTAGCACTAGGGGGGGCTGTGAATTACTCTCCAATTGTGAAACAAAAGCAAAAAAAAACAGTATTCTTTTTCAAAAAATATATTTTTATTTAACTTTTTTAATAATAATTATTATTGTTATTACTGTTATTAGTTTAAATTAACACAACATGATAAATGCTTGTGTATACAGACGAAATGACATTACTACTCTTCAAAGTAGGAAGCCGAAGTAGGCAGGGAGTGGGAGAGCGAGAGAGAATGTATGTGTGTGTGCGTGTGTGTCTAGGTGTAACTGTGATCGAAGAAGACGACACACACACACAAAGATAACTCCTGTGTGTTTTGAAGGATAGAGAAGACAGAAAACAGAAGCAAGAAGGGGGGAAAGAGAAACCATATTATTACTATTATTATTATAACCCCCAGGTAGAATTGGAATAAAGTTTGAAGTGAGTTGAGAGGAATACACACCTCGGACGGTAGGTGGACGGGCGATGGTCGCCTAGCCGGATGAGGGGGGCGGGCGAGAATGTGTTTCTGTGTGTGTGTGTGTGTGCGTGAGTGAGTGAGCTTTTCATTAAATTAGTTATGAAATTTATTCATGGACATACTAAATACATACATACATAGATACATACATACACGCATATAAGAGGAGAGGCACATTGGAATGTTTCACATTCACCCAAAAAAAAGAGAAAGAAATAACAGGCGGCGGACTGATTGAATAGAATATCAATTAACAATAATATAATCATAGTAATAATGATAAAAGAGAGGACCAATAAAGGCGAATGGGACAGAAAAAAAGAAGCGGAAACCAAAAGTAAACTGAAGAAGATTCATCACCATCATCATCCTCAACATCATCATCGCCTTCTCCTCCCCATCTTCTGGCCTTCTTTTGACCCCCCCCTTGTCTTGGGTCCAAGAGGGAGGGAGAGGTTCAGAAGAAGAAGACGGCTAATATATTTTAGTAATAATAATAATAATAACGCAAGGAAGAAAAGAAATGTTGTCAAACAGTAGGAGTAACAAATAACAACAACAGCGATAACAACACAGCTGAACATCACATAAATAAATACAAGAAATCAAATTTGAAGAGGCAACACACACACACAAATCTAAAGTGCCTTACTTTATTTATTCATATGTATGTGTTATGGCATTGATATTATTATTGTTGTTATTCTTTAGGTAGGTATTCAACGATCCCATGAGCACAAACACCAGTATATGTGTTTATAATATGCAGCAATGAAGGTGAGTAGTAGTCATAGCAGTGTTGTAGTAGATATTGACAACAAATGACAAGTGTGATTACAACAATAATCAGGTGGAAAATATATATATATATATATATATATATATATATATATGGAAGATATCAAATGGAATGCCTTGTTTACAACAAAAGAGAAACAATAACAACAACACCTTATTATTGATTGATTCATTGACTGATTACGTAATCAAAATATTGTGTTGAGATAAGCCGACATACACACACACAAAATAGAAGCGTTTATATGTTTACATATTAGATATTAATAATAATAATAATAATAATAGGCAATTAGGAGACCAGATTGACTTTAACGATAGGGACAGTAACCATAAAGACAAAAAAAGAGATGGAGAAGGATGGCAGAAGTGAAGTGACGAATCAAACCCAACGGTAATAATAATAATAATAATAAATATAGTTTGCTCGAAGGGGTGGACGGAACACGAGGAACGTGCCTTGAATGGTGATGATGTTGAGACATCATTTAGATGACGGGAGAAAGGGTTTATATATATAGGCAAACACACACACGCACTTTGATTACGTAATGTTAGAACCTCCACTTAGCAAGCACATAGGGCAATATATAAATAATTATATGAATATGTGTCAGTTTTATTTTTCTGCTTAAAAACTGTTCCTCCTTTCATCAATCATCACAGCCAAAATAAAGAAGAGATGGGTAAAATCTGATTGGTATAAATAAATAGTAATTAAGTAGTATATGTATATATAAGTAGTAGACAATAGAGAGTAATAATATTCGTGTAGAAGTTGCTGATTGATTATGTTGGGAGGGAGAACCGATATCGTGAATACAACATTATATATGTTATGGTCTGAGTGTTAACGGACGTAGCATTTGACGATAGGCAGAAGCACTGCGACTTGGTGGTTTATCGAATTCCGTGAGAAATGGACTAGAATCGACATTTTTGCGGAACACTTGATCGTATTTCTCATCAAAGGATACTATATATATGTGTATGAAAGTAGACAGACAACACAAACAGAGGAAGAGAGCGAGATTATTTGGTAAATTAATGATAATAATGATAATACTAACAATAATAATAAAAATATCAAGTGTTGGTTTGGAAGGATTTGATTGGTTACAGGGATTGATCACTACTTGACATCATTTAGAGAAGTATTGGGGAACCAACTGGGAGTACTGGATAGCTGTTTCTAGAGTTCCGGTTTTCGACTCTTCAGCAGTACGCACCCGGGATTCGAACTTAGGACCTTCCAGTTACGAGGTGAGATCATAGACCATTGGTTAGTCCATGATTTCAACATGACCACCAGACAATGTCATCGCTGGTGAGTATTTGTCCTCATGCCCGACGTGGTCGGACAGAACCCACCCACCCACCGCCCCAACTGGTCACAACTTTTCACTAGAACTCCAGGAAACTTTGTCCTGTCGTCAATCACTTGCCAGCCACCAGTAGGCACCCGATTAATTTTTAAGAGTTACTCTCCATGACTACCAGATGGTTTTCACTAGTTCTCTAACTTGATATCAATCCGTGATCAAACTTGAAATGTAGGTGAATTGGATATATAACCAGTCTGTTGAGTAGACAGATCATCAATCAAATAGCATAAGACGCCAGTCATCCACTCCTGCATCCCGCCTACCAATGGTTAGTGACGATTTAGATCGTAAAGTGAATGTCTGGTGAGAGCTGTCTGCTAGCCAAAATTGGTAGACAGCAATTTACGCCAATGTTTACGTCCCAAATCTTGGTCATGAGAACAAAATACGAACAAAGACTTAGGGTGGGCGAATACGATTCGCAGATATATGGTCTGACCTTCAAAGAAACGGCCACAAAGAGATGAGAGAATAACTTTCAGCGAGAAAACAACCAATCAGGAGATGCTGTTTCTCTGCTAATAATAATGAATAGCAATGCACTTAAAAATATATAAATATCTGTTGATTTCCTCAATAAACGATCTGTTGCCTGGCCCTTGTCATCTGTCGTTACAAATAAGGGAGGGGATCATGTGATAGAGAGTAAATAAAAGAGTGGAGGTGAAGTTGTAGTGTTTCAGGTTGAAAACGACAGGAGAGAACTGAATCCCTAATTTCCGATCGGAACAAAAAAATAATAATGGTAATGATAAATAAGAAGGAGTTTAATGTCGCATAAACTCGAAGACTTGCAGGCAAAAACTAACAAACTGGCTGAAGAAGCTGGCAGCGAAGACACGACTCCAGATGAACATAGAGAAGAAGACAAAGGTCATGAAAATACCTACCGTGACCAACACCACCAACAACAACCAGCACCAATCACCATCGACAGGAGAAATTTGCCAGAGGTCACTTCTTTCACTTATCTACGCGTCATCGTTTCAACTACGGGTGGAGGCATGGATGAGGATGTCCACACCAGTGAAAATCGTAAAGTTGAGGCAGACCCTCATCACTTTGAAACCAATTTCGGAATCTTTTGCACTCAGCATAAACAACACAAATGTCAAATCAGATCTTCGATATGGATCAGACACTTGGCTCACCAGTGTCGACAGGCATTTCCAACAGCCTGTTGCAGACTTTTATCAATAGGCTGTCCACTTCACCGGATCCATACTGAAGATCAAATGGCCAGCCAGCCAGAAAGAATTAGCAACAAGAAACTGTGTGGACAAACCAAATAATAACCTATAGCTCCATAGATATCGCGAAGAAAATGGAGATAGATTGGGTCTACACTGAGGAGACCGTCGAATGATATCGCGCGCCAGGACTGAACCACGTCAACTCCTAGCTTAGTGATAGGGAGTGAAGTGATAGAACATGTTGACCACTTCACCTATTTGGGAAGTTGTATCAGCACCAACGGATTGATTGGTGACGAAATCTCAGCACGGATACAAAAATCTCGAGCTGCTTTCGCTAACTTACACCATCTCTGGCGTAGGCGTGACATCCGGCTATCAACCAAGGGACGTGTGTACTGCTCAGTAGTTCGCTCCGTCCTTCTCAATGGCTCTGAAACATGGCCAATACGAGTTGAAGACATGAAAAGGTTGACTGTTTTTGACCACAGATGTTTACGATCTCTTTCTCGCGTTAAGTGGTATAATAAGGTAAGTAATGTTGACGTTAGGCGTAGAGTGTTGGGCAAAGAGGGAAAATCAATCGAAGAGGATATAAAGTTACATAGATTGAAATGGCTAGGTCACGTGCTGCACATGCCTAACCATCGCCTCCCCCGACGGACGGGCATTACTAGCTGATATAGGTAGGTGCAGGTTGGAAAAGAGAAAGTGGTGGCCAAATAAAAACATGGCATCAATCAATCCATGAAATCTTTGACAGTTAAACTGAGTCAGGTAGGGAGGGAGATGCAGACTTCCGGGTTGGGACCCGCCCTCGGGACTCTAAGAATCAATGGCTGGAGACAATAGGTGACATGGCTCAAAATCGTTGTCAATGGCTTACGCAGATGTATTCAGTCTCTGTAATCTTTCATATTCCTTTCTACCATTACTCATTCTGTTTCACTCTTATACTTGTCAAAACTCTATTGATTCTCTTCACTCATTTTCTTGTCTACCTTTGTGTGCTCTTTGGAACGTGGCAACTGGAACTGCTGCACTTCGGTGCCAAGTTCTATGTTGAATCCAGACAGACAGACAGAGCGCGCCAGGCCATCACTCAAGTGGAATCAGAATGGAAAACGACGTGTGGAGCGTCAACTTCGAGGGTAACATGGAGAAGACGAGAGATTATGGGCAATCGTGGGGCCCAGCTTAAGAGGACCGCAGAAAATATAGAACAAAATGGAAATGTGCTGTTCAAGCTCTATATTCCCCTCGGAACCCAAAGGAACAATAATAACAGATACACAATGTGGGGGGGGGGCGGGTTGGACTTACCTAGATCAAGTGATGCTCGAGACAGTGCTTGTATAGCAAGGAATAATAATTCTCGATATAATGATTCTTCTAAACATGATGCACAACTTTTAATATCACCGCACAGAAGACGTTGACTTCTACACCTCGATTTGTTAACCATCGCCTGCATAGATTGTTGTTGTTGTTGGACAGGTATTGTTTGAATATTTTCATTGGTCGTGCTGGATTTCAATTCACTGCCATCACTGTTCAACTGTTGTCTCAGTGATGTTGATGACGGTGATGATGATGATGATGAAAGAGGAGGAACAGGAGGAGGAGGAGGAGGAGACGATGGTGTATGTCGTTGTTTCACAGTCAAAGGTAATGGTGAATCATATTGGATATGTGCACGTGTTTGTAAAAGATTCGCTATAGCAAATCGCATATTATTTTTACGGATAGCATCAATTATCTTTTCAATAAGTGAGTGAATTGGACAACAGGCGGATGATATTGAAAGATTCGTGTTCATTTTATTGTTTGAGTTATATTGCATAGATATCTCTTGGGGACTTATTGGTACTAATGACCAGGGAGTATTTTGATCTGTATACACGAACAATGAATAAATAAACAAATAAATAAATTGCAAATACAAACGTATTAAGTTATCAAAAATCTGTATGATTAAAACTCAGAAACTGTCTGCATTAACTGAGGTTCTAGGCAGCGTCTGGGAATCAGAGGAAGTCCCATCGGGTTGGTGTAAGTCACTGATCATCCCGATATACAAGAAGGGAGACAAGTCTTCGTGTGATAATCACAGAGGGATTAGCTTGACTAATATAGTATCCAAAATCCTAGGCTCAATAATACTGCGTAGACTAAGTGGTGCTCGGGAGGCACAAACAAGAGAAAACCAGGCAGGTTTTAGGCCAGGAACAGGGTGTATTGATCATATCTTCACCCTTCGACAGATTCTAGAACATAGGCATTCCTACCGGCGTCCGACAATCACTATATTTCTTGACCCAAAGGCGGCATTCGATTCTGTCGACCGAGAGGTTCTCTGGCGATGCTTGCCTGTAAAGGGAATGACGAGAAAATACATTGCACTGATTAAGGCACTCTACTCGTACTCATGCAGCCAGGTGAGGGCTTATGGCGAGTTGTCATATGAAGTGGTGACGACTAGTGGCGTCTGTCAAGGATGCCCATTATCCCCATTCCTACTCAACTTCATCATAGACGTACTAATGGACTTAACCCTAACACACTTCAGCGAATCAGGGATCGACTGGCTACCAGGGAGTAATCTCGTCGACTTAGAATATCCGGACGATATAGTCCTTCTAGGCGAGGACGCTGACAAAATTCAGAGTCTTCCGAACATCTTGAGCAACAATCTTCGTATGTTTGGCATGCGATTCGCCAATGTAAAATGTAAGATGATGCTGCAGGATTGGACTTCACCGACCCCTAGATTAGAAATAGGAAGTGAAGTGGTAGAGCACGTTGACCGCTTCACTTACTTGGGAAGTACCATCAGCCAGTGCCAACGGGTTGATCTCTGACGAAATATCAGCACGAATACAGACGGCTAGGTTCGCATATGCCAGTTTACGCCGTCTCTGGCGGAGACGTGATATCCGACTATCGACCAAAGGGCGTGTGTACTGCTCAACAGTCCGCTCCGTCCTCCTTTATGTCAGTGAGCGAGACCTGGCCATTGAGAGTGGAAGACAAGAAAAGATTAGTTGTCTTCGATCATAGGTGTCTGCGTTCTATCTCCCGTGAGAAGTGGTATAATAAGGTGAGCAATATTGAGGTTAGGCGTCGAGTGCTAGGTAAGGCGGGGAAATGATTCGATGAAACTGTGAAATTACATCGACTGAGATGGTTAGGACATGTGTTACGTACGTATGCCTAGTCATTGCCTTCCTCGACGGGCAATGTTAGCTGATATAGGGTCAAGCTGGAAAAGAGCTAGCGGCGGTCAGACCAAAACATTGCTTCATCAGTCAATGAAATCCACAACAGTTAGTCTAAGCCACATAGGAAGGTGTAGACTTCCTGACTGGTTGGGGTCCTCGGGATGGTAAAAACCAATGGTTTGAAACAACTGGTGACATGGCTCAAAATCGTTCTCAATGGCTAGCGCAGATGCATCCACTCCTTGTGACTTATGATTTCCAATTAAACTGTTTTGTTCTTCGTTATTACTATTCTTTTGTCTCACACCTCTGTTTACTGTCTCTATTATGCATTTCTCCTACTTTCTTCTCTTGTTTTGTGTGCTACAAAAAGGGAGTGTGGCGACTTGAACTGCCGCACATATGTGCAACGTTCTATGTCGAAAACCGACCAACCGAAAACTCAGAAAACTTGTAATAACAGTGAAGTAGATTAGTAGAGCGCGTGTTGACCACGCTTACTTCATTTAGCTTGGGAATTTGGATTAGCACCCGCCCCCCCCCCCCCCAGTTCGCCCCCAACGGACTGAAAATTCCAGTATGGATGGATACCAAAGAGTTGTGTAGCATTTGCTAAATTACATAAATCTCTAAAGCAGGCGTGATATCCAGCTATCCTATCGATCAAAGGATGTGTGTATACTGCTCATCAGTCCACAATATGGTAACATTGAGTGAAGGAGGAAAGGAAAGTCAACCGATGAGATTGTGAAATTGAAACAAAAGCGAGAAATGAGCAAGACACACGCGTTCCTGCTCAAGACAAGCCAATACCTTCATCTACTGGATAGATTACCTGGTTGATATAGGATTAGACTGAAAAAGAGTTAGGTGTGGTCAAACCAAAACCTCGTATCAAATCCATGAAATCATTCTTCTACAGTTAGTTTAAGTTAGCCAGGTAGGAAGGTGTAGACTTCCTGGTTGGGAGATCCCTGAGACACAATCGGTGGTGGTATAGCTCAAAATCGTTCTCAACGGTGAAGACACAGTCACTCATTATGATGAAGTCTGGCAACTTGAACTCGTGTACTTCTGTACAAAGTTCTATGTTGAAACTCAGGCAGCAGTGGTCAGTCAGCCAGTCATTACATCAAAGGATATGAAAAAGAATATTCAAATAGATATATCGTATTCTGTTGTTAATGCAGTAGGGAACTGTGGGAATATGTGAGAATAATATTCCGCTGGAACACATTGTCTGTATCACACCACCACACTCGTCCCACCCTCCCATCAATAACTTTCGGCTGAAATTGGTCCGATCTTCCTGGAGCTGGCAGCTTTGTTAGCTTGTCTTGCTGTATCGAGTTCCGGCGCTCATCTACATTCACCCGCTTTTCCTTGTTTGCATTTCTGATCATATACACGTGACTCCGTCTCACGGTGGTCGTGTATGGTCCTTAAGGAGCAGCTGGCATGACCTTGGTTCGTGTTCGTCAGTGTTTCGCCCCACACTATCATATACTGCCGTCATCCGACCTCCCAGAAGCGTTCCAAGTAACAGCTGACAGATCTTGAACGCCAATTAACTGCGCAACAGCCTTGAAGTCCTGCCCGAAGATCCATATATATCTCCATTAAAAACTGCAGGCCATAAGCTTTCCATTTGTCGGTAGGCAGAGACACCAAATAAAACAACAGAAGGCAAGACACACGGAAGCCAAGGTATAATTCTCACTGATCACACTGCTGTTTACACATGTAAAATTTATATTCTTTACATCAAACGATACGAAACAGAATGTTCAAATATACATAGTATTCTGTTGCCAATGCAGTATTGAACTGCGGGAATATATGTGAGAGCGATATTTCGTTGGCACATATTGTCTGTATCACACCAGCACAAAAGTAGTAAGTAACACATCATCTCAAAGCATAAATATCATCTTGTCAACAAAACAAAAAATATATTTTTTATTTTAAAAACCCAATCAACAACTCTCACCTGTTGGTTGTTTCCAATTAGACCAATATTTATAAAGTGGATTTCTCATAACACTACGTACAGGATATGTTGTATTCCAGCGTAATGAGATATATACAGGTAAATTCGGTGATAAATTCACTTGCTGTAGGATAGGAAGAAGGAAAAGAGGAAGAAACACATGACACACAATAAGAGAAGAGGAGTGAATTAGTAATCAACATACTCAATTCAAAAAATGAATTTATAGGTGATATATGGCGGGAGGCAGGTGCAATAATAATAATGATGATAATGATAGTAATAATAAACTACATAATGCACATGAATACTGAAAATGCATTGCATTCAGGCAGCTCAACATGCAGGTTATGTAAAATGTAAAAGGTATATATATATATATAGAAAGAACATATTTGCAGACACATTGATATGAGCTCGTTTCACTTCATGGATTCTCTTCAACTGTGTACATATTAAACAAAATCAATTATACGTTACTATCAGAATATACTTTCTTCCACAATTACTTCGAGTTATAGATAGAAAGGTATAGGGGCGACATAACTATATTTGGTGGCCTGCTTAACACTTCGGCGATCTGGGCAGCTTTGCCAATCTCTTACATGGTGCGGACATCAGCATCAAAAATAAGATCCGGATTTTCAACTCCAATGTGAAGTCAGTGCTACTCACTGTACGGATCAGAGACTTACACTGCGCGTCATAAAGAGCATCTCCAACAAACTACAAACCTTCATTAAGAGTTGTCTTCGCTCAATACTCAAGATAAGATGACCAGCCAGAAAAGATCAGCAATAGAAATCTCTGGGAGCGAACCAACTAGGAACCAATTGTGAAACAAACATGCAGGAAAAAATGGAGATGGATTGGCCATACACTGAGGAAACCATCAAGTGACATCACTAGACAAGCCACTGCTCGAGTGGGACCCGAAAGGGAAGCGGCGAGTTGGTCGTCAGTGTGAGGGTGACTTGGAGGAGGTCATGTGAAGAGGAGATGAAAACGTGTGGGCAGACATGGAGCCAGGTGAATACTCTAGCAGTGAACCGAACTCAATGGAGACGCAAGGCTGAAACCCTATGTTCCTCTAGGAATTAAAGGAAACAATAATAATAATAATATTACAGGATTGATACTAGTAGCTGTTTTTGGTATTAGCAGTGAAAATAAAGTCAAAAATGTAGGAAAATAAGTGTAAAATAATGATGCGAATAATGTTAATAGCTGAAATTATAAGATGATAATTGAAAGTGCTACTGTAGATTACAAATAGGAGAGAATAAAAGGGCAAATTTATTCTGCTAATAACACAGTAACTCGTGGGATTCACACTTAACACACATCCTCTACCACATAGAACGCCGGCGGGCCGAAAAGGGTATCGTTGAGTTTCTCAACTTGATTGATTTCTAGTCCCAATGAGATGAGATGCAATGCAAGGAGAGAGAGATTGAGAATAGAGGGGATGCTGACAGTCAGATAATGTGGATGTGGACCAGTTCTCACATGAGTTGTTCAGGTGTCTATCAAATAAAATAATAACGAGTTCACTAAGTGGTACACCACTGGGCCTTACAACCTTTAATACCCCCCTTTACCTCGATATGACAATCCTTTTTGAGTAGCTCATGAAAGACTAAGGGTGGAGGAGCAATAAAGTACAATGGGTAAGATGCAAGATTCAACAAATTGTAAAGGTTAGATGACGGCATATTTTCTTAGAAATCAACAAGATATGGGATAGCTAAGAAAGGTCACAGAATAGAACTATTTCCAAGGTATTCTATGCTTGACTTAGTTCCTTTTTCAGTCCCCTGCCTGTGTATGCTACAAGCATCATGTGAACGGACGAGTTCTTGTAGATCACGTTTCTGCCTGCCTGCCTGCCTGTCTAAAGGTGAAGTTAACTGTCTAACATTCAGAGGGGGATTTAAGCTAAAGCCATTTAGCTTAGACAACACTACTGGCTGATATCCGACAGAAAGGCTATTAATTTTGGAACAATCTGATTGGGATGATGGAATTAGCAGCGGTTGTGATCTCCTTGATACCATAAATGATAATCAAAGAAGACAATAAAGTAATAAAGCATGATGATATAGATATATATACTACTCCTTGAAATAATAAGTAGTCAGCTGAAAATCAGTCACGTCACATTCATGTCTAAATATCAGTACATGCCTTCTTTTCAAAATGTTAACAAAGAGCAAAATTTTTATAATAATGGTTTAAAGTTTCTGTTTACGCTTTGCTTATTCTCTTAACTCTCTTTCTCTCTGTCTGTGTATTAAATATCACTGTTATATAATGAAAATTATCTTTACACTAACGAACAAAGAATATAAGTGAAAGTTGCTAACTTTAATAGCACAACGACCTCTGATGTTTATGTATGTAACAAAAATCAATGCAGATTACAAGTGGAGATGTTGCTCCACAAAATGCACAAGGCAAACGAATAATTTCAGTACAATAGGAAAACTGAGATTGGCTGACTGACTGGTTTCAACGTGGAACTTTGTACAGTTAGCTGTGCCGGTAGTTTGAGTTGCCACTCTCCCTCCATAGAGTACACAAAGCAAGAGAAGAGAGTAAAGAGAGATTCAAAATGCAAAGAGATATTAAACAAAAATATGAGGTCACAAGAATAGGAATATGGAAGAACGATAGAATTTTATTGGATATTATAAATCACAAAGAGTGAATGCATCTGCGCCAACCCTTTGACAACGATGATTTTCAGCCATATCACCAATAATAGTTTCCAGCAGTCATTGGTTCTTACCTTCCCGAGGACGCCAATAAGACAGGTAGTCTACACTTCCTAACATGGTTTAAACTAACTGTTGTGGATTTCATTGACTGATGCCACTATGTTTTCGTTTGACCACCATTAGTTAACTCTTTTCCAACCTGATCCTATGTTAGCTAACATTGCTGGTTGTCGAGGAAGGCAATGGATGGTTAGTCATGTGTGCGTCACACATATCCTAACCATCTTAATCTGTGTAACTTCACAACCTCGTCGACTGATTTCTCCTCCTTACCTAACACTCGACGCCTAACCTCCCGGGCTACAGAAGAAAGACTATAACATATTACGCAGGATGTTAAAGGCTGTCAGCAGGGTAAGCAACGTGTCACTTAACCAGCTTGTTAATATTCTGGTTGACAGGCACATGGACTCATGTAAAAATGGGCCAAATCCATTTTATCTAACTCACACCACCCTCTTCACTCACAACTCTCCCCCTGCATCTCATCAGGCAAAACCAGAAGCCTATATAGAAAACTATACGCTCACACTAGCAAGTACAAATACTCAACCATACCCTACTTGGCTCGTGTTCTGTGCGATAAAGAAAGCATTAGGCGTGACACCTATAATTCATTAAATAGTCAGTAGTACAACTGGATCTCGTCTTTCCAACTCATATCATTTATAGGTACAACATTTTCTTTCTTTCTTTTCCTTTTCCCTCTCTCTTTTTTTTCTTTCCGTTATGTGCTGTTTTTTTTCTTTCTCTCGCTTACGCCAGGAAATATGACAGCACCTCTTTTTCTAACACCTTCAAACACTGTTCAGCTTTGCTACCTTTGCTACCGAAATGCCAATATGTTGTTGTCATCATGAACTGAGATTTCCTTAATCTATGTAGAATTTTATTTATTGTTAATGTACTAACTGGATGCAATACTGTAGTAAAAATGCTGAGAATTCCATTCTGTATCAAAAGTACTGTTTTGGAATAAAGCAAATTATTATTATTATATTGCTCACTTTATCATACCACTACCTAACACAGGAGACAGAACGCAGACACCTACGATCAAAGACAGCTAGCTAGCCTGTCTTATCATATCTTCCACTTTCAGTGGCCACATCTCATAGACATAAAGGAGGACAGAGCGAAAGCTGAGATTTGATTGGAAAAACACAAAGGTAAGGGGAGGGGAGAAGAAATGTTGTGGAACTACAATCAACAAGAATATACGAGTGGAAGAATGATAACAAGAAGAATGAGTGAGATTGAGAACGATTTTCTGACATATGATAAACAGATTCAAGTCACTGGTTCTCAGCGTGTCGAGGAACTCAACCAGATAGTCGATACCTCTCTACGTGGCTGGCTCAAACCAACACTTGACCAACATACTTTGATTGGACACTAGTCAGTAACTAGTGTGATGTGTCTAGTCATTATCTTTGATGCAGACTGAATTCTGTGAGTCAAGTTTGCAATGTGACAATCATGCTAGGTGGCACTGTGAATCGAATTATTGGTATTGGATGGTTGAAGGTAATCGACAGGAAGCTTTCTATCTAGGTTTCGTGCTAGTTGGCACTCGTCAACAAGGCGTATATACAACCTTGAAGGGACTCATGTCTATTCTGAGATTCGAAGCCACGTAACCCGATGCTGCAGTCAGAGACGCCATCACTGAGCTTTTCGGGCTGGGTGTATCAAACAACAAGTCACCTAACATTGTTCAACGGTGGAAGCGATAGTTTGCTATGCATAAGACACGTCCTAACAACCATCTCAACCACAGTAAGTTCACAAGCTCTTCAACTGACTTCCTTTCCTTACCTGACACTCATACGGCTAACCTCAATATTACTCAGCCTATCATACGACCTATCACGGGAAACTGAATGCAAACAACTGTAATCAAAAATAGATAGCTAGCCACCAACATATCTTCCGTTTTCAAGGATCATGTCTTACAGTCATAAAGAAGGAAGGACAAAACGAACAACCACACAGTGCACACGTCCTTTCGTCGATAGCTGGGGGGTATATTTCATGTCTACACCAGAGATGACGTAAGTTGGCAAAGCCATTTTATCTATGTATCCGTACTGAGATTTTGTGAGAAATCAGTCCATTAGGGTTGATGCTAGTTATATCAAATTGAAATTCCCAGAAACCGCCTTTCTAAATGTCTGAAGAAGACATTTCCAACAGCCACTCCACGTATCACATTCTCCTGCAGACAGTTAATCCAGTCTAACGCTAAGGACAAGATACCGCTTTTGGCCACTCAAGTGTGCATTTATCAATTTACTTGCTCGTGTGGAGCAAAGTATATAGGCCGTACGCAACGTCAAATACA